CCCACAGCTCATGCTCCCTGAACTCACCTACCTCACAGCCACGTGCCCCACCTCGGGGGGGATGGCCCCCCGGATGAGCAGGGAGCTGCCCCCGTTCCAGGCCTCGGCCAGGCAGCAGTGGGTCTTCACCCAGCCCCCACCACCCCCCTCCTGTCCGTGCTCCCCAAGCAGGGGCTGCGGCTCCTGGGCACTGAGGTGGTACCAGGGCCCCGTGTTCACCTCCTACGGGGAAAGGTGAAGCCAATGAGAGCTCAACTCTCAGCCAGGCCACCCTCCATCCCCAGACACACACACACACACACACACACACACACCGACAACCTCTGTGAGACTGAGGTGCCCACACACCTGTCCGTAGCAGACCCTCCGTGTCCCCAGCCCCAGGCAGAAAGAGGTGACGAAGGGCAGGGAACAGAGGCTGTGCGTGGGCAGGTACCGTTCCAGCAGGCTCCAGAACCTGTGGAGAGACACAGATGCAGCAGCTCGGCCAGGGCCTGGCTGGACCAGAGAGGTCGTCAGAGGGAGGTAGCCCCCAGGGCCCCAGCCTGCAGTCTCTCCTGCTTAACTGACCCTAAGACCTGCCCTCCAAAGGTGGCCATGGGCTGGTTCCCTGCCCTGGGCCCTGAGCTGTCCCTGGAGGGTCCCCAGAGGCAGCAACGCACCTGTCCTGGTTCTGGAAGAAGTCATTCTTCTCCAAGCACTCGTACACCCAGCCAGGCGCAAACAGGGCAGCCGAGAAGCCGTGCTTCCGGATGAGCTCCAGGGACTGTGGGGACAGAAGTCAGACCACGGACTGTCTCAACCCCAGCGACCTGAGGGTGCAGATCCCCCAGCCTGTTGCTGTTGTTAGAGCTGTCCTGGTGCCAGCGCCACCCCTCCCCCACCCCCACCTCACGGCAAGCACAAAGCAACAACTCAATGACACGCTGCCCATCCCAGAGGGTCACCAGGCCTGCCTTCCTCATCTGTTTTGGTCAGGAAGCTCTGCAGAAACCCACTCAGCATCAGAGCAGCCGCCAGAGGGTCTGGGTGGTGGCTGGGCGTGAACCCGGGCCCCTGGAATGGGAGGCAAGGGTGCGCCCGCAGAGCCGCAGCTGCCCACCTTTCCTAGCCCCATCTCCCAGTGACCGGCTCGCATCAGCCCCCAGTGCGTCTGTGCAGCACCGCACACCCGGGGTTTCCAGTGGCCGTTCTCTCAAGAGCCGACTGCGGGCCTTTCCTCAGCAGTGCCCCTGGAGTGTCCTCCAGCCTCCAGCCTTTCGGGGAGCAGCCAAGGCTGTGAACCACTTGCCCCACCGTGCAGGCAGATCTATTCAGCCGAAGGCCCTGGTGGCGTAGTGGTTACAAGCTAACCACAAGGTCGGCAGTTCAAAACCACCGGCCACTCTGGGGGAGGGAGAGGAGGTTTTCTCCTCCTGTAAATTCTCTGAAACCCACCTGGCTAGTTCTACCCTGTCCTGTAAGGTGAGATTTTTTTGGACTTTGAGGCTTCATCCATCCCCGGCAGTTCTATAAACTGACCGGGAGGGGGCAGCATCAGGAGCCAGAGGTGAGAATGCTGCCCAGCCTCACCTCCAGCCCTCTCCTGAGGTTATCAGGATCCTGGGCAGAGGGGGGCACAGCAAGGGGGCAAAATGTATTCGCTAACAGAGGAAGGGAGGGCAGCAGCGCTGCACAGGTGGGTCAGCCGGGAGAACCTGCCAGGAGAACTGGGCTTTTGATCTGTAGCTGTTTCCCTGAAGCCCCAATCCCAGCACCCTCCCTCCCTGGTAAGAGAAGCAGTAGACCCCGGTGGTTCCCTCCCTGCATGCATCAATGACTGACTGAGAGGTGAGAGGTTGGAGCCCCTCTCCTAGTGCCTCAGAAGAAAGTCCTAAAGATGGCCACATCTGATGGGGCACCTCCACCCTGGAGCACACAGGTCACAGGGGGTGGGGGGAAACCCCTGGATGGGAGTGTCCAAGCCCAGTCCTGCAGCAGCCCTAGAAGCAGAGTGGGCGGTGTTCTGTGGCTGAGTAAAAGGTGGACTATTGGGTCCACAGGGGCCCGAGGGCAGGGGCAACCGAGGGCACCCGAGGCCTGTGGGGACACTGTGAGTCAGAATCCAGTCACCAGCAGTGGGTTAGTGGGAGGTATGGTGCTGCCAACTTCAAGGTCTGAAGTTCAAGACCACCAGCCTCTCCACAGGAGAAAGATGAGGCTGTCTGCTCCACAGAGTCACAGCCTCGGAAACCCAGTTGGGAGTCCACCCCGTGGCAGTGAGGTTGGTTTGGGGACCCCAAGGTACTAGGATGTTAACGTCATGCTCATAAAGAATGCAGCCCTAAAGGGGGGGTTCGAGCTGGCAAGGTAGGGGCAGCTGGGAGAAGAGGGTGTCCCCTACAGCCAGGCGACAGCATGCCCCCTGATTGCGTGTAGTTAGGATGCTCTCTGCCACGGCATGCATCTCCCCAGCATTCCTGTGCCTCAGTTTCCCTTCTCTGGCACGGCCCACCTTGTGCGTGTCGAAGCGGCCGCCCACGACGTTGCTGCGGGCGAAGACGTCCACCCCCACGTACACATCAGCGCGCCGCGCCCCGGCCTGCGCCACCATCCGCTCCAGGTGCTCCTCCCGCCAATTGTAGTTGGAGAAGAAGCCGTCACAGGCCTCAAAGAAAGATCTGTGGGCGGCCCTGCCTGTGAGACCGGCGGGGCAGCCCCCCACTGCCCAGCTCCACCTCCCTGGGCTGCCCCTAGCACTCGGCCAAATTGCCAGCCTCGCTTTGCACAGCTGGTCTGGGGGGGGGACTGCTCTCCACGGCAGGATCCGTGTGAAACCCAGCCCCGGGGAGATGGTTTCCATCCAGACAGGGGCCCACGTGGGACCCCCATGTATGCACCACGCCCCTAGGAGCCTGGGCCAGCCCCTACTATGTGCCTGGCAGGGCCCCACCTATGCACAGTTCCGGGAGCTTGAACCGGCGCGAGCAGCACTAAGCTGGGGCCCCAGGTATGCATCGGGCCCCGCCGCATGGGAGGCTGGGCGGGGCGGGGCGGCCCCACCTGTTGCTGTCATTGAGTTCGTTCTGCCACTTGAGCTGGCCGCTGTGCACTACGCTGTCGTACCAGAGCACCAAGCCCCCCGGCACGGCGCGATGCAGCTCCCTTGTCAGGTACCGCAGGAATCCCGGCGTGTTCCCCACCGCCGCAGTCTGCCAGAAGAGACAGGGCGTGCCCGGTCAGGCGTCCAGTAACTGGTCACCAGGACCCGCCCCATGGCATCCCCGACCCCCCTCCCCTTGAAGCAGGACGGGTCCCGACACACAAGGCAGTGGATGGGGTGCCAAGGCGGGCGTGTTGAAAAGAACAGAACTACCCCACTGGGGTAAAGACAGGCTTTATAGGAACAGGCAGCCTCTTCTTCCTCCTGCAGACCAGCTGCTGGGCTTGAACCACCAACCTTGCATGGAGCGTGTAACCCACTGCACCACCAGGGCTCCTTGTGGCCAAACAAACAGACCCTACCCCCCTCTACCACTGTGGCTTGCTGTCGGGTAAGCATTAGACTGCTAACCACCAGCCGCCCCAGAGAAGAAAGAGGCAGCTGTCTGTTCCCACGACTGACAGCCGTGGACACCCAGCACTGGGTCACTGTGAGCAGAACCCACTCAATGAGTGACTTTTTTGGGTGTCAGAAAAGGAAGTCACCAACCCCGCCAAGCAGAGATGGAGAAGGAGCCCGGATCCCACACATCCACCCACACAGAGCTGCCAAGGGCACCAAGCCCCTAGATTTTGGTGCTGCCCCCATCCCAGGAACCCTTGGGGAAGGGTTCCCACTATGAGCCCCAGGGGCCGAGGGAAGAGAGGCTCACACTCAGAGAGTTCTCGATGTTGACCAGCCAGCCATCAAAGCGGAAGAACTGGGCAAGACGGACGAGCTGGTCAGCCACAGCCCGGTAGGAGCGCTCGTCCCCAGCCAGGAAGGCTTCGCACAACTTTGCGCCATCGGTCCACTCTGTGATGACCGTCCCTGCGGACAGGAGACAGGAGATCAGGCGACCACAAAGGTGCCACCTGGAACCCTGCAGGTGCTCACAGTGGGACCCGCAGATATCTGGGAGCCAGCCAGTCAGGGGCAGGGCCCTTGGTGACCAGGCTGCAGTCTGGTGAGACCCACGACTGGCAACCACCACAGCCACCACCTGGCCATGCAAAGGGTCTCCCTGAAACACCACCACAGATGCCAGCTGCCTGGAGTTTCCTCTAGGTCCTGTTGCCCACGGGTCAGAGCAGACCTGCGCTCCACGGGGTGCTCAGTGGCTGCTTTTTGGACAGAGATCTCCAGGCCGTTCTTCTGAGGCACCTCTGGGTGGCCCCAACCTTTCAGTCAGCGGCCAGACGCAGTACCCTGGAGGACCCACCAGGGCCTCCCACTGGACAGTCACCCCGTCTGTTCTACCGTCTGTGGGGACAGCAGCAGCAGAGTGACCCAGAGACTTTTGGAACAAATCTGCCCCTCCTGCCCCCCACTGGACACCACCCCAGGTGAGCGCTCTGCCCCTTGCCAGGCAAAGCAGGCCTGTGGCTCGCAGGGGCACCTGCAGGCATTGGGCGGAGGGGGAGTGAGCCCGGGGTCTTACCGAGCACGCAGACCCCGTGCTTGTGGGCGGCGTTGGTCCAGCCCACTGGGGGGATGGTGACCAGGTGGTGACTAAAGTAGACGAAGATGTCGATGTACTGCCAGTGGTAAAAGGAGTATTGCTGCTGGGCGGGGGAGCCCTGGATGAACCTGGGAGGGAAGTTCCATCAGGCTGGGCCGGGGAAGCGACGGGCCCTGTGAGGGGCCAGCTTCTCCTCAGCCACACTCTGGAAACAGGGGAGGAGGGGGACCCCCACCACACTCACTGGAGACCCTGTCACTAGCATCGGTTGGCATCTGCCACTGGGACCCAGACCTAGCATCGTGGCCTCGGGGAGAAAAGGAAAGGACCGAAGGCTCTCCCTGCACCTACAGCCAAGCCTCCCCTTATCAGAGACCCCCAACCCCATGCAGGGTCCAGAGAGATCCAGGAATCTGCAGACCAGGCTCAGAGGAGCCTGGGTCGGTTGCTCGGTTGCTCACTGTCCATTCAGCCTGCAGAGGACTCTACCTCCCTCCCACTCCAGGCCCGCCGGTGGTTCCCAGCTCTGGTCACCCAAAGGCTGAGCACAGCCCTCCCCTTCTCCACAGGGGGCTTGGCCACAGAGGCCAGAGGCAGTAGGTGGTGCTGTCTCCCTCACCTGTCGTCCAGGTACCCGCCCATCATGTCGTGACACACCAGGGTCCGGGGCCGTGGGCTGCTCAGAGGGGGCTGGCGGCCCACGGGGGGTTCCAGGGCCACGTTGAAGCCATCCTCCACGGTGGGCCTCCAGGCCAGCAGCTCCTCCAGCGAAGTCAAGTAAAAGCTGACGGGGCTGGTGGTGTCCGTATCATAGTATCTAACTGGTCAGAGGAGCGGGCAGTGAGGACTCCCTTGGGGGCTGCCCTGATTGCCCGAGCCCCAGCTGCAGCGCCCACCATTCTCACCTGGTAGAGGGTCCGGGCTGAAGCTGACCACTTCTCGGAAGACCCCCTCGGCCTGCTCCTCTTCCATTCTGCATAAAGAAGGGGACAGAAAAAGAACATTTCTCAGCAAACGGACGAGGCCCCACGGCCGTCGAGCCAATTCAGACTCACAGAGACCCTGTCTATACAGGGCGTCAGGGGTGACAAGTCTTTCTGGGCGCATACAGCCTTGCTGTTCTCCCCGGGAGCAGCTGGCGGGTTTGAGCCACCAACCTTGCGATCAGCAGCCCAATGCTGACCTGACAACACTCCCAGGGCCCCTAGTTCTCTGTTTTTAATGCCAAGTGCTGATACAGGATGGTTCCTGTGGTGGGGTGGCAATAGAATTCTTGTGAGCGATCCTGGTTCAATTCTCAGCCAGGATCCCTCATGCACAGCTCCTACCCACACACACACCTCCCCCAGCCAGGGGAGGGCAGGCTTGCAGGACACTAGCCCACTGGGCAGGTGACAGCGGGGTTTCCACACTAAAGAGGGCTAGGAAGAATGGCCTGGTGATCTACTTCCACAAATCAGCCCAGGAAACGCTTGTGGGCCACCACAGTGTGTGCCCATTGTGCAGGGGGTCACTGAGGGACCACAAGGGATGTAGAGACAGGAAGTGGACATATCACCTAAGGGGCAGCTTCTCAAACTTTTGTCTACCCCCCTCCTCCTCCCAGGCCCCTCCTTGCCACTGTCTCCATCATTTGAGCTTTGGGACCCACTCAGCTCCTCTTGAGGAGTCCCGGTGGCAGAATGGTTATGCGTTGGGCTGCTAACCACCAGGGTGGCAGTTTGAAACTCCTAGCCACCCTGAGGGAGAAAGTTAAGGCTTTCTACTCCCGTAAAGAGTTACAGTGTAGGAATCCCACAGGGGCAGTTCTACCCTGTCCTGCAGTAGTCGCTGTGAGTCAGAATGAGCTCGGTGGCAGCACACTGCGACTCTCAAGTTTTCAAAAATCCACCCACACCCAATACTGTGTGATCAATGCAGGCTCATGGGGACCAGGGGGTCTTGGCTGTAGTCTGTAAGGCAGTGAGGGCCAGGCTTTCTTCCCTAATGCTGCTGGGTGGGTGGATTCCAACTGGCAGCCTAAAGGTTAGTGGTTGAGCAAACACTGTTTGCACCAGCTGGGGTCCTCTGTAAGCACACACACACACACCCCCAGGGAAGAAGACCATGTGATTCCAAACTCGCCAGCCAGCATGCCACCTCCAGCTCTCCGGCCTGCCCAAGGCTCTGTCTCTAAGTTACAAAGCAAAGGAGAGGGCTCTTGCTTCCTGCCTCTGCTGCCCACTGCCTCTACTTTCTCCCCACTGGTGTTTGAACCACCTTGAGGTTGGTGGCCCAATGATTACTGGACAGAGTTACTAGGGCCCTGGCATGAGCATTGGTCATCTTAATGACTCAATCACTTGGCTGGGAAGTCCTGAGCAAGTGCTGGTGGGACGCTAGGACCTGGTCCGCCTCCCCGCCCCAAGCCCCACCGCGAAGGCGTGGTGACCCACTTCTCAGATCAGGAAACTGAGGCTGCAGGTGTAGGCAGTCAGAGGGCAAGAAGGTCAGCGCCAGACCTCGCAGCCCGGCCCTTCTCTCCCCGCTGTGCCCTGCAGCCACTCGGGTCCGCACCCCACTTCTGGTCAGCAGGGGGCCAGGTGGTCAGTTTTGGGGGAGGGTGGCAGGGGGCGGCAACCCACGACCAGAGACGGGGCAGGGAGTGATGGCTGCGTCCCCGCGCTGTGGACACTGCTCGGAGTGACCCCGCTTCCGCACCCGCGGCCGGGGCACTGGAGGGGTCACGGGTCCCGCCCTGGGGCTTCGGGGGAGCCGAGGAGTTCGGGGTGCAGCCCCGGGCCGGCCCACCCACCTGCGATCAGGTCGCGGCCGCTGCCGCCGCTTCCGAGCCCGCTCCGACCAGTCCCCCGCTGCCGCCTTCCGCTTCCCTGGTCCCTGCAGCAGCCGAGAGCGCCGCCTGGCAGCCCCCGGGGTCGCCCGCTCAGCCGCGGCCTCCATAACGCCGTCAGCCCCAGGCTACCGGGCCGTCCAATCGCCGAGCAAGGTCCGCCCCTGATGCCACCGCCAGCCAATGGGAACTGCGGAGCGCTGCTCCTTATCTCGGATTGGCTCGGGCTGGACTCCAGCTGCAGCTCTGGGCTCTTGCCCCCTGCGGCGGGGACTTTGTACCTCCGGAACAGGCGGGGAGGGGCGGGGCCGATGGTGGGCGGAGCCTCCAGTGAGGGGCGGGGCCTGCTCCTGGCTATCAGAAGCCACCTCTGCGGGATCCCCATCCCCTTCCCTCCCGCTGTTTTAGAAGGTCCCACAGAGCTTCCTCCAGTAGCATTTCCTAAAGAGGTCAAGATCTCCCCCTGAGGGGCCGGGAACCATCCCGGGGGGCGCTGCACACCTACACTTTAGTCCTGGAGGGTGGGCTAGAAGTAGTTTTTCATTGCCAGGGGGCGCTCAGTAATTTTTTTTTTTTAAATAAAGGGCAGGGGCCACAGAAGTTTGGGAGCCTACGAACAATTTCCCAAAGGCTGAAAGGCTTTTCCCATGCAATGAGAAAGGGGGTTTCTGCTCTCCAGAACAACCAAAAATCCAAACTCACCGCTCTCAAGTAGATTCTGAACCATCCGATCCCTCCCAGAGGCACAGTTAGGTGTAGAGAAGCACCACGTGAGCGAAGGAACCCCTGCAGGCTGCTAGCGTCTGCGGAGGAAAGATGTGGCAGTCCTGGGGGTGGACCGGACAGCCTGGGAAACACTCCCCACCCCCGGCAGTTCCACTCTGACCTGCAGGTGCCTGTAGGAAGGCACCGCCAAATCAGGCTTGGCTTGTGGCTTAGGTCCCAAGCACAATCCCTCTGCCCCTATACAGCACCATTTCCCCCAATTAAAACATAAAAACCATGCTCACACGGGTCTAGACAGGAACAAGAAAGAGTCTGAGGTTCATCCTGCAGGTTCACCTAGCGGGGAGCCAGGCAGGTGTCAGAGCCTGTTGAGATGAGTGAGACCCAAGAGAGATCCCCTTAGCGAGGAGGAGGAGAAGAGAATGCAGGTGAGATGAGGCAGGGCTGGGTTCTCCTCCAGGTGGAAGGAGGTCTCAGAAGCTCCTGAGCAGGACAGTTGCTGGTTTTTTGTATTTTTGTAGTTTTTCAGTATATGAAGCAGAGGAGGGGCAAATGTTTAGCCAGTAACGGGCAGTGTCATTCTGCGAGCAGGGAGGGGGGTTTGGAGGGAAATGGGGTGTAAATAATGAGTACAGGAGGCGGGGAGGGTATTCTAGAACTGACTGTGGTGAGGGATAGCCAACTCTTTAAATACGACAGAACTGTGGAAGTAGATGCTATGTGGATGCTATCTCAATAAACCCCTTGGCAACAGAGAAGTCACGTTAGGACAACCCTGAGAATGCCCGGCTTGGCTGTGGAAGCTTGACTTCTGGAGCTTAGAGGAAGACAGAGGGTCACCCTCCTTGCTTCTTGCCTGATTGGAAGAATAGCTCCATTATTATTTGTTCCCAATAGTCTGATTGGAAGCCTGGCTTGTTGGCGAGTCACCCTGCTTCTGTGTTCAGGTAGCCTTCTCTCCCTACAAGACAGAGGCAGCTCCAAAATGATGCGCGTCGGATGGTGTCTTTTCTCAGCCCAAAATCCCACAAACATTTCCCAGTTCCAGGAACGAGATTTAAATTCTTCTCATGGCTCTTAATAAACATGTGATCTGACCTTTAATAAAAAGACAGTTGAAATGGTTTTAAGTAAGCCCCCCACCCCCTTAAGAGACGGTGTCTCCCATCCTTTGCACAGGTGATCCAGAGGGACCGGTCCTTCTTGGTGGAGTGGAGGGTCCTGGGAAGAGAGGAGGGAACCCTGAGGACATGGATGGACACAGTCCCGACCACGATGGTCTCCCACATCGCAGCCCGTGGGGGGTCAGCGAGGAACAGGGCAGCCTCTTATTCTGTTTCACATGGGGTGGGTAAGAGTCCAAGCTGACTCGACAGCACTGAACCACCTCCACCGGGGCTGCCTGCGAGCCAAGGCTGACAGCACGGGGTCCATTGCCACACAATGAACCGGATGCGGGGGCAGACCTGTCCCTGTGTTTTGAATGCCCCCAAACCTGTGCTATGCATTAGTTGCACTTCTCCCTCTCCACCCCCGTTCCCCGGAGTTTCCAGGCCCCAAAAGTGTCTGGGGGAGTTGGGGTGGGGTGGAAAGGATGGGGCTTCTGGGCCGGGATGGAGTCCGCAGTCCAGGTGATGGAGGGGAGGCTGAGAGGTGAGAAGAAGCACAGAACCAGGAAAGCCAGTCTGAACATCTGGGTGCTGCAGGGCCAGATGGGGCCCACCTAGGCCCCCAGTTGGTCGCCTGCTGGCTCTGGAAGTTCCTGCCCAGGGTGGGGCACTGCAGCCAAGCCACTCTGAGTGGCTGCCTGTTGCTGCTGGTTTTGAACTTTATGAGCCCCAAGCTTCCATAAACTCCGAGGGTGGAGGCCTGGATGCGGCCAGAGGGTCAGGCAGGAGGCCAGGAGCCCAGCACTTGCAAACCCTCCTCGACCCCGCTTCCGGGGGCTCTAGGGCCTGGGCCGTATACAATGAGAGTAGGTGGCCCCATGCGGTCTGTATTAGTCTGGGTATTTTAGGGAAACAAATCCACAGAAACTCATGTATAA